CCCCAAAACCCCAAAACCCCAAAACCCCAAAACCCCATCTAGTAATAGATTGATTTGAATTTGAATTAGAATAATTATAATAATGTCAGAGTATTTTAGAAAATACATTAAGAAGGAACACTACCCTAATCATTAGTAATTATTTTATTTATAATGTGATTTTAGCTCCAATATCAAATTCAAGACCACCTTTAGGAATTGTGTGGTTGATTCTCTCAAGAAACGAGGCTGGAAAGAAGTAGAAGGGTATGCTTTTAAAGTTAATCATTTATAAATAGAGAGGATTGGGATTTACTTTGGGTAGAAAGAGATTGCATCTATGAAATTCTTAACCACTTCCATTTGCAATCGCATCAGAAAGTCAATCACTATAGAAATCACTATGAACTTACCAGAAAAGATCTTATGGTTAAGAATTTAAAGAGATACAAGAAGCAACTCGAAAAAGAAGGCAAATATGAAGAAGCTAATACGTAAACAATTTGATGTTTTACAGATAATCTAGGTTCAACTTCTTCCCAACTACCTACAATCTACCAGGTGATTATTCTCTATTTGTTGAGGAGTTCAAAAAGACACTTGGTTCTGTCTGGATTATGAAGCCTATTGCTAAGTCCTAGGGAAAGGGTGTAAATTCAATACAACTTTAACTAATATATGCTTTCAGATATTCTTGTTTAACAAGCTATAATAAATCGCTCAATGGAAAAATGATTTTAGATGGAAACCAGAAAGTCCTCAGGCCGAACCTTATATTGTCTAGAGATACATTATAAACCCTCTACTGATTGGTGGAAAGAAATTCGATATGAGAATATATTGCTTGGTTACTAATTACTCACCTCTTACAGCATACTTATATAGAACTGGATTTGGGCGTTTCACTCATCACAGATATACAACCAACATTGAGGATATTGCTAATAACTATGTTCACTTGACCAATGTAGCTATTCAGAAGACTTCTGAAAATTATGATGAAAGACTTGGCGGTAAATGGGATCTGAGAAGTATGAAGCTATATCTAATGAGCAAATATGGTCAAGAAAAGGTATCTGATGCCTTTAGCCAAATTCAAGAACTCATCATTAAATGCCTACAATCTGTTTAAAAGACTATCATTAACGACAAGCATTGCTTCGAGCTTTATGGATTTGATGTTCTTTTCGACTCCAACCTAAAGCCATGGTTAATTGAAATTAATGCTTCTCCTTCAATGACTGCAAACACCCCAAATGATTATGAAATGAAGATAGGACTTCTTGATGATACTTTCACCACTCTTGATCTTGAAAAAATGTAAGATTACAATTGTCATCAATGAATTTAGATTGAGTGGGACTGAGGAGTAAATAGGAGGCTTTGATCTGATATGCAGGGGTACTCCAGTAAAACTTCCATAAAACTCTACCTATTTATCTCATTTGGGATGCTAAAACAATAGAAATCAATAGCTCAAGAAGCTTGCCAAATCAACAGCGAGCAGATTGGTAGAACATTACAACTCAGAGTAATCTTAGGCTACTGGAAATACTAATGACGAGAAGATCAAGCCAGGTAACTAGGGTAGCTCCTCAGGCACAGCTGGTTTATCAAAGAAGTGAAATTTAATTGATATCATTCGAGCTTAGAGATATATTATAGAACTATATAATGAATAGATAACAATTGGCATTATCTCGTTTCTAATATTAAATCTGAAGATTGCTACATGGGGTTTTGGGGTTTTGGGGTTTTGGGG